GGCCCTCTTTAAAGATCACCTTTCATTGTAAACTAGCATCTTCCTTTCCAATCTCAACTGCAATGTAAAGCAATGCCAAGTGCACATATAATGACAATTTATTGCAAGATGAAATTAAAAATTTTGCAAAAGAAGCAGAATTGTATGATATTGATAGAAGCAATATTAGAATGCCATTTAAATCACCCTAAAAGTCTAAAACATGTAAAAATTGAGGAAGGAAAAATCAACAAGTTTGACAGTATAGTAGACTCTTAAAAAACGAATGGCCTATGGCTTCACTGAAGATTAAAGAGTGAACACCAATCCTTCTCAAACTCTTTCAAGAAATAGAAAAAAAAAAACAAAAAAAGAATACTTCCTAATTCATTCTATTGTAAGGGTGAAACTCAGGGGACCAATAATGTAGTTAGACTTAGCTAGTTTACAGTTTGATTCACCTCAAAGCTTACTATCTAGCCACCTGTAATTAGACTTAGCTAGTCTGCAGTCAGTTTGAGCCACTCTGACATTCAGCTGTTGTCTCTTTGTTTCTCCCTTAACTGATTGATTTAAGAACTCTGCTTTGTTCCCTTTCTCAAGGCCACACATACTTTGGTAATCTAGTTAATCAGGGGAGCACTAACCAAAAAAAGTAAATCCTTAATCCTCAGGTGCCCAGGCACTGGAATCCATTTTGCAACTCCCTTGCAGTTTTTACTGGTGACACACAAAGCTCCAGGCTGCAGTGGCGGAGTCCAGCAATAATATTATCTTAAAACAGACCAGACCCCAGGAAGGATGTCAGCCTTTGGACCTGCCTGACCGACTCCCCCTTTCCTTTGTTCTGCTGCTTCTTGTGTACCTATAAAACCTTCTGACCAGTCTGGAAACAAGGAGATGGCATTTGCACAGATGTCCACCATCCCCCCAGAATGCCAGCAGAATAAACCTGCTTTTTTTTCCACCAACCTTGTCTCTCGATTTTTACCTTTTTCAAGTCGCAGGTAGCCGAACTTTAAAACGGTAACATTATGAGGTCAATATTACCCTGATACCAATGCCAGACAAAGACATCACAAGAAAAAACTACAGAGCAATATCCTTTATGAATACAGATGCAAAAATCCTCAACAAAATACTAACTTTACCTACCTAGCAGCATATCAAAAGCATTATATACACCATGAGTGAGTGAGATTGAGCTCAGGAATACAAGAGTTGTTCAACATACAAAAATCAATCCGTGTACTACATCACATTAATAAATGAACAAAAAAATACAATATGATTATATCGATGCAGAAAAAGCATTTGGCAAAATCTAACACCCTTACATGTCTAAAACATTCCACAGACTAGGACTAGAAGGGAAGTTTCTCAACCTGATAAAGGGCATTTATGAAAAGCCCACAGCTAACCTCATACTTAATAGACTAAAAGCTTTCCCTGTAAGACCAGGAACAAGACTAGCATGCTTGCTTTTGCCAATTCTATTTAACATTTTACTGGAAGTTTTAGCCAGAGCAATTAGGCAAGAAAAAAAATAAAAGGGGGGTTGGGGAACTGGGTAAAAAAGGTGAAGATATTAAGAAGTATAAATTGGCAGTTACAAAATAGTTGCAAGGATGGAAAGTACTATACTATATAGTCAATAATATTGTAATAACTATGTATGGTGTCAGGTGGGTACCAGACTTATTCGGAGGATCACCTTATAAGTTATATAAAGGTCTAACCACTATGCTATACACCTGAAACTAATATAATATTGAATGTCAACTGTAATTGAAAAAGAAAATTAAAAAAAACCTTTTAAGAAAAATAAATAAAAGCATCCACACTGGAAAGGAAGAAATAAAACTATCTGTAGTTGCAGATGACATGATCTTTTATGTAGAAAACCTTAAATAACACGCGCACACACACAGCTAACAAATGAGTTCAGCAAAGTAGCAACATTATTCATAACAGCCAAAAAATGGAAATGACCCAAATGTCTATTAACTGATGAATGGATAAAACATGGTATTTTCATATGATGGAATATTAGTCAGTCATAAGAAGGAATGAAATACTGACACATGCTACTACATAGATAAAATTTTAAAACATGTTAAGTGAAAGAAGTCAGACACTAAAGGCCACACATAGTATGATTCCATTTAGATGAAATGCCCGGAATAGGCAAATCCATAGAGCAGAAAGTAAATGAATGGTTGCCAGGGAATGGGAGGAAGGAGGAATTGGGAAATATGAGGTTTCTTTTGGGGATGATGGAAATATTGTGCAATTAGAGTAATGGTGGTAATTACACATTATGAGTATACTAAAAACCACTGAATTATATACTTTAAAATGACTAAAATGGGGCCGGCCGAGTGGGGCATTGGTTAAGAGCTGGCTTGGGATGCCAGAGGGCCCCGGTTCAGATCCCACATATGAGGGCCAGTGACACTGCCCTCTACAGCTAAGATGCTGAACAACAGCTCAACCTGGAGCTGGGCAGCCATGGGTCACCGGCAACGGCGTAGACTGCAGTCCCTGCTGCAGTGGGCTGCCATAAGCTACCATGTGTAGCCAGCAGCCACTGTGAGCGGCTGTCCAGAGGCCGGCAACTGATCCGCCTCGCCCAGGAAGAGCGCAATGATGGTGCCAACTTGGGCCAGTGAAGCAACATCCTCCACAACTAGACTGAAGAACAAAACAACAGCAACTTGTCTATTCCCCTTCTTCCGATTCCCCAATAAAATCTTAAAAAAAAAAAAGACTAAAATGGTGAGTTTTATGTTATGTGAATTTTATCTCAATAAGAAACTTTTAAAAAGAGGAAGAATGGTCTTTAGATATTAAATGATTGCAGAGCCCTGGGGAAAACTGATGAAACTCATGTTTTGTTTTGTTTTGTATTAATATTTTGATTTTTCAAAAATGACCCTTAACACCGAGAGAGCCCAAATTGAAGTTATAGGTATCCTATCACGTTACCATTACAATTTTGTGGGGGAAATTAAACCCTCCCCCCCAATGAAGAATGATTCATTTTTCTTGGTTCTAAAAGTCAGTGACAGCTAGACGTCAAAAATTAACAAGAGAAGAATCTGATTGGCTAGTGCAGCTGGTCTTCTCTTGCCACGCCTTAGCTATAGCTGGGCTGGCCTTGAGTTAGGGCATTGCCCTGGACCAGGGGTCGGCAAACTTTTGAGACAGAAGAGCCAATCCTGTCCCTCACAACAATTTAAAAATTACTCGAGAGCCATAAAACAAATGAAATCACCATTATGTGAATAATATCCTTTAAAAGTTTCATAAATGAAACTATGATAGTTTTATTTTCATTTTCAATTTTACTTCAGAGCCACATGTACGTACCCAAAGAGCCGCATGTGGCTCGCGAGCCCCAGTTTGCCAACTCCTGCCCTGGACTAATCCATGGGCCACACTGTATAGAAGATAGCCACTGAGGGTTTTGGATGGAGCAGAAGTCCCCCATCAGAGCTAAAGCCTTCCCTCTCACCAGCACCCTCCCATTCCTCCCTCCATCATCATCTAGCCTGAGAATTACCCAGGGTCCCCAGCCCCTGCTGCCAGACTGTGGAAGACTGAGTATCACCCCAGCTGCCTTCCCTTCCTGACTCCCTCCTGCTTTTCAACCTCCCTCTCTCCTCCCCTCCCCATTCCTCAGTTCTGTCCTTGAAGAAGTATGGGAGACCATCCTCAGCACCTGTTATCTGCTCTAGGTAAGTCTAAAGTTCAAGGCTTTAGGCAATTACGCTCAAGGCCTCTCACTGAACTAGAGATGAATGACCCAGGGAGCATTCCTGTGGAAATGGTTTGAGGAAGTGAGTCAACAAGCCGTTTTGTCGGGGCAAGCCAGTAGGTTAAGGCAATTGACCCTTTGGGGGTCAGTGTCCTTGTCTTCTTTGTTGTTTCCTAACTTCCACCTTAGGGGTAATTGGGCCCCTGAGACTCCTGGATCACTACACCGTCCTGTCCCTGAGAATTGTACTTTAGAGCAAAAGAGGGAGAGGACTTTGCTTGACCCTCAGGGGATATTTTGAGGTGTTTTGGGACAGGAGTAGGGAGTCCTTCTGGTACCACATCAGTAACTGCATCCTCTAGTTGTGTCTACTCACCAGCCCAGGGCAGGGAGCCTCCTCTGCCCTCCCAGAATTGACTCAGTTGAACCTCTCATTGGCCCTTCTCTTACTATCAAAAATCTTCACCTGAACCTCAACAAAGCCCTAACTCTGGTCCCTTCTGCTTCTCTCAATACCTCCATGGTTTTCTACCCAACCTGATGCCGTAACCTCTCTGAGCCTCAGTTTACTTATCTGTAAAATGGGAATAAAGATAGTACTTACCTTTTAAGAGTGGCTGTAAGGTTAAATGAGATAAGGAACATAACTGCATTTCCTACAGCACCTGGTGCGCTGTAAATGCTCAATAGACATTTGCTGCTGCTGTTGTTGTGATTTTATTTATCAGCCACACAACCAATTCTAAGGAGCACTTAGTATGTGTCAGGCCCTGTGCTAGGAGCCTAGGGCTACTGTGCTTGGCCTTAGATAAGGCTATTTGGAGAGAGAAGAGAGATCACCAATTAGTAAAATAGTTCGGAAGCATATAATTTGGCATCGTTTTAAAAAATCTGTCAATATGCTCAGAAATCTCACTCAGCATCCCTGCCTGTTAAATACAGCCTCCCTCCCATTTGCTGCCTCTTCAGCTGCTGTTTGGCTGCATAAGCCCATCATGAAGATGTGGCGGGCTGGGCTTTGGAGATCTCACAGGGGCTTTTCCGGCTAGTCCTCCCTTTCACATGCCAAGCCACCAACACCAACACAATCAAGGCCTCAGCCCTGATTCTCCCACCTCCAGCGCCCCAGAGCCTGAGTTCCAGCCAGGTTTTGGTGGACAGGGAGTTGTTGACCAGGGAGTATAGAAGAGAGAATCAAGAACTTTGTCCTACCAACACCCTAGAAGGCTCCTCAGGTAGGGGATGGAGGATGGCGGTGGGCTGTGTGTGGGGGAAGAGGTGGGGGTGGGGAGAAGTGGGAAAGGGATGGCCAAAGACATTTGTGGGAGGGAAGCAGGAGGGACCACACCTAGGGACAGGGAGGAGTCAGGAACCTGGGAACTCAGCCAGCTGGGAGGATCAAATTTCAAATTCCTCTGCTTTGAACTCTGAGATAGGGACCTGTAGTCACAGGAAGTCTGAGGAGGGAGAAATCCCCAGGGGAAGACACAGCCACTGCACCTACCTTCTGGGAAAGGCCTGCAGGCAGCAGAACTAGGAGCCAGCTCCTTCAGGGCCCTCACCTGCCCACCCTTCCTTGCCCCTCGGTGCCTGCCAGGAGAACCGGAGAGGGAGAGAAGACGATGGAGCCAGACGGGACTCAGATAAAGCTTGACCCCAGGTGAGTGAGGGCAGTAGGCCCTAAGCCAAGAGCTAGTTGCTAAGCAGCAGGTGGCTCCTATCGCTCTGGCCTCCCTCCCGGGGCCCTTTGGTTTCCAGTACACAGAATGAGACAGGACTGATAATAGATGGGCTGTCCCTAGGTCCTCAGGGACGTTGTAGAGTTGGGCCAGTGCGTGACCCCTCAGAGTGTTGGCTTTCTCTCCCCAATTAGGGAATGAAAGATCCCAGACTTGGGATCTGTGCGGGGCATGTACAGAGACCCCACCAGTTGCATACCCATCCCTAGGGAGTGTCAAGTAACTGGTGTTCCTTCTGGTACCTCTCCCCTCCAAAAATCCCCATATTCTGAACACAGGCTGGTGTCTCTCCAGGTACACGGCAGATCTTCTGGAAATACTGAAAACTAATTACAGCATCCCCGCTGCCTGCTTCTCTCACCCTCCCACTGCAGCCCAACTTCTGAGAGGTGAGTCAGGGGCCTGCCCCAGAGGGAACAAAAAGGAGGAAATGAGCCTCCCGGTGGTAAGTCAGGAGGGCTGAGAGGAGCAGAGGAGAAGTGGCCTTGAGCTGGCCAGCCTGGAGACCATGAGAGGATGGCTAGTCCAGTGTCTCTCTATCATGGGTAAGGCCTTGGAGAAGATCAACTCATTGAGGTGCCAATAGGCCAAAAGAGAGGCACAAAACCTAGCCCAGGAGACGAGATTGCATGCTGGGCCTCCCACAAATCCTAGCCTCAAAGCTCATTCACACTGGGGACACTGGCCTGGGGCATTTTTCAGAGCCCAGGGCCATCCAGGGACTCAAGATGGCCCCAAATGACCCCAGCCCCACAGAATCCCCTTGAGGCCTTCACAACAGACTCAAGGGAAGGGCCTATATCATTTAAGGGGGTTATTATGAATACTGTTCTTAAAACATAGGCAAACCTGGAAAAGTATTCTGACAGTGTTAGCCAACTAGATTCCTATTATTGAACTGCTTTGAAAGTGAAAGGCTGAGGATGGGACGCAGCTTATTCCTTGGATGCCTAAAACATGACCGTCAAATGACCCCAGCATCTTCATAGCAAATGTGGCTCACCCACATTTTATTTTGTTTTTCTGTTGCATGATTAACTACTTCTCAGACATTGATGAATAGGAGCCTCTGTCTCTAGGGTACTTTAACCTTTTCCCAGCCCCTTTCCTGATGTTGTCACCTCAAGGAGAAGACAGGATATGGTCAGTGTGCGTTAGGAGGCACACATGGGCATATCTTTAGACAATGTTCAGCCTTGTTTCAGATGCTCTGAACCAGAGCAAATGCCAACTGCCAGAGAGTGTCCAGAGAAACCTCATAGCTGCTCTGTGGTTTGTGCCAGTAGGCAGCTGCTACATCTAGCTCCAAGAACCTCTTGTTCACTCGTATCTGGTGATACGAGTCTTCCCTTACACCAAGGCACTTTTCCCCCAGGGACTTTTGGGGATGTCTGGGGACAGTTCTACCTGCCACAGCTAGAGTGTGCTACTTGGCATCTAGTGGGTAGAGGCCAGGGATGCTGCCCTGGAAACAAAGGAATTCCTCCCCCCCCCCCCAAGGAATTATCTGGGTCAGAGTGTCAGCAGTGCTAAGATTGAGAAACCCTGACTTCCACAGTGAAAACAGTTCTCACATTGCTCTGCTACAAAATGTGTTAGTAGAAGCACCAAGAATGTTCAAAATAGGCAGACCATCGTGGGCCTGGTAGTTGAGCGAGCTGCCTTGTTCCCAGATGGAACTGTTGGAATGGGGAACAGCTGGAGAGTGGCGAGCAGGCGGTGGGCACTGCGGGGGTGAGGACAGAGATAGAAGGAGCAGGCAGGACCCCCAGACCCTGAGGAGCTAGGTCTGGCAGGATTCAAGGTTGCAGGTAGGGAGGCAGGGGGCAATTGAGAGGCTGGGCAGGTAAGGTGGGGCCCAACGATGAAGAAGTTGTACTTTATCCTGTAGACAGGAGGAGCGCGGTAAGGGCTCTCAGATTGGGAGGGGCAGGATACTGCTTCGGACCAGTAATCACGATGGGCTTGGTGAAGAAGAACCTTGAGCAGCAGGGGTGTAAATTAGAGGTTATTGCCACAGCCCTGCATAAGGGACAGGAGCCTGAACCAGAGCAGTGTCAGGGAGAGGAAGGGAAGGTTGGGAAACACAGGAAATTCAAAGAAAGAGCAGGCAATCTGGTAAATATCTAGACAAGGCACGTGAACGAAAAAGAGACTCTAATGATGACTCTGGAGATCTGGGCAATGAAGATGACATTGACTAAAAGAGAAGAGTCAGGAAGTAGTGCCCATTGGAGGATGTGGAGAAACTCTTTCCTCCTTCACTTGTAAACTCTGTTGTTCCCTAAAATAAGTGCCATTTGAGAAAGCTATTCTGAAAGAACTACTGAACCCTTCACTAATCCATTGTGGTTTTTTTAAATTGGGGAACAGTGTTTTTTTCCAGGACCCATCAGCTCCAAGTCAAGTAGTCATTTCGATCTAGTTACGGAGGGCGCAGCTCAGTGGCCCATGTGGGGATCGAACTGGCAACCTTGGTGTTATGAGCACTGCGCTCTAACCAACTGAGCTAACCGGCCGCCCCTCACTAATCCATTTTTGAAATGCCTATGATATGATTGCAATTATCCTTGTAGGATTTTTTTTTTTTTAAACAGACTGATCCAAACATTTATATGAAACTGTTAAGGGCCATGAAAAGCCAAGACAGTTCTGAAAAAGTATAAGGAGTTTACCTGCCTTCCCAGAGATTAAGGCTTATAATAAGACTAGAGTAATTAAAGCACTGAGGCAGTAACTACAAGGGGCCTGACAGTAAAAACAAGGGGAAAAAATCGAGGGCACAGAAACAGACCCACGCCCACCTGGGGACTTGCTCTCTGAAAGAATGCTATACACATCAGTGGGGCAAGATGGTCCCTTCAAGAAGTGATGCTGTAAATACGTAGCTGCAGTGTTGCCACAGGGACGTGGAAGACAGTTCGAGGATTGTAATTGATAATGTTGTGAATATTTTGTGGGGTGTCAGGTGGTCACATGTCTTGCATCATGGATGGGGAGGAGGCTTGATCACTGCACTGTACACCTGAAGTTGATGTTGTATAATATTGTATGTCAACTATAAGTGAATATATATATATATA